CTTGAAAATTTTCATACACAGTGAATTTCAGTCCTTTGTTCTCCCCACGTGAGGGTATGTGGGAAGGGATGTTGGATGCACCTTGCCACTTCTTGGGAGGGTAGTGACGGAAATATAATTAAATTATTAAAAGCCCCCAAAGTCACTATCCAGATTGTGACAGCAATCACAGTTCAGCTGGCTGTGCCACAGAGTAACAGTCACAGGTTTTCACGAAGACTGAGAGCACAGAGACACTTCTGGTGAAGAAGTGAGGCATGCAAACGCCAGGGCCGGCAGAGAGAAGGAGGAGGAGGAGGAGGAGGAAGGCCACTACATGAGGGACCCTCACCTCCAACGCAACCCTTTAGTCCAGCGAAGAGCCTGGCTAGACTGCAAAACAGAAATGTCAGGTTCGCGGTAGCATCTCCCACGGGCAGAAATCTCTAGGCCACGTTTCAGGGGATGGGGCTCTTTGTCTGGATGACACTTCTGAGGATTTCCTGAGGCAGCTCTGGCAGGGGCCCCAGCTCCAGGCAATTAGTCAAACGAGGCCCAGATCCTGCCACCACAGCATCCAGGCCGCACTGGGGACACCTCCTGCCGTTTCTCCTTTGGTCTCAGCTGGACACGGCCCTGAAGTTCCAGCACACGCCAGTTAATGAGCACGGTCGCTGAGCTGGGGACAGAGGGCATGTGGGTCTGGGATTCAGTACTAATGTACCCTTGGATTGAGTGCCTATGTGGGAGAGTGCAGAGAGCACGGTGATAATTTCACAATCGATCTAATCATCTCACTGTCCCTAGGAGAGAGATGGCTATTAGACTAATCGTGCCCTCCTCCAATCTAAATGAGGTATGTCAAGTGCTCTAGGCACATAGTAGGTACTCCAAAACAATGTTAGGACACACACTATGACTATGATTTTCAAGGGTCATTCTCCACAGTAGAATCCAATATTCACATCTGTTATCTAGCTTTTAGGTCAAGATTATGCCTTTTTTGATGGACCAACGTAATGAGATGTGCCTCTCTTTACTACAGGAAGGTTTTCTCATTCTGGGGTTCACTCTGTCAGAGTCACCCAGTTGCCAGTTCAGCTGGACACGAAGTGACTTACGTGAGCATTGTCAGTCTCTATCGACTGCAACGGACACGAGCAAACACAAGACCCTGGATGACAGGGCACCGAGCACCTCGGTCTGCAGGTGCCGTGGAACAGCTCAGAGCACTGTGGGTGGGGGAACACCAGAAATACCAGATCACGTGGGCGTGACCACGTGCTGTCACCACGAACGGTCCTTGAGAAAATGTCCTGCCTCTTGTTCCCAAGTTACTGCATGGCTCCGGTCCCAAGTTATTTGCAGCTAAAGTATGACATTATTTAGTGTCCTTAATAACCCGGCAGCCAGCGTGTGGATGGCTTCGGTCCCTTTCTCAGCTGGAGAAGGAAGCGGAACATCACCCCCAACCGGCGCCCAGCCGTCCAGCGCCAGGCCTGCAGCCGGTCGGCAGGAGAGCGGGTGTCTCGGAAGCAGGGAGAGGATGGCGAGGTGTCATCTCCCGGACCGCCCCGCAGCCTCTTAACTGTGCGCTGAATAAATGAAGCCGGGGCAGACACACCTTGAATTATTAATGAAGTTATTCAGCCCTGATTGCTTCCTTCTTTTGGGGAAAGGTTACTCCCTCCAATGCCTCTGATGAGGCTACACAATACATCACAATTGGGCCTATTTTATGTGCGGCTTTATGGTGATAATAGTTCTGTCTCATTTAGAAGCAAATCAGACATTATGAACTTCGTGATTTATTAATGGATTGATTTCTATAAATGTCAGCGCCGCTCACAGCCAGTCAGAGAGCCCGGGAGCAATCAGGGAAGGGCCAATAAAAATGGAAAATGAAACCATCATTAAAAAGAAAAAAAAAGGGGGGGGGGGCGAATACTGCCTACTTAAAAGGCCTGCCGCCTCTTGGAATTGTTTCAAGGCCCAGATCATTACACAAAGGCATGCTCCACCCCTGAGGAGGCTCTGTCTGTGGCTGTCCGCTCTCTTTGGTCGGAAATAAACAAGAGGTGGGAGCGGGACCGGAGGAAGCCTGGGGCCCCAGCCCAGACACCCCACTCTGGAGCAAGCAGGAGGACCAGGGTGCCCCTCCATCCATTTGCCCCTCTACAAACCACCACCTCCCCGCTGAGCCATCTTCAGGATGCAGGCCCGGACTCCCCAGCAGACACTGAAGGGGCCCCTCTGGGACCCAGGTTACCTTTCTCACACAGTCCCCACAGCTGCCTACGGCGGGTTTTCTGTGCAGCCACGGCCTGCTGGTGTCTGGACCCCTGTCTCTGCCAGAGCGTGGGATCCGCTGACTCCAACCCCAGCCGCTCTCTAAATCTGGCTTCGGAGCCATCTCCACTGGCAGCTCTCTTCCTGTCCAAACTCCAGAAGCGCTTACCATCTTCAATAATCACCGGCAGATACCCCATCTGTCTTTGGGGGTTGGGCCTTTCATTTACCGGAGTGGGGTGGTGGGGTGGGGTGGGTAGGGTGAGGAGACGGTGCCTTGTTCCTGTTGGTTGGTTTTTATTTTTGATATGTCGTGCCCTCCCCACCACGTGATGTTCAGTGTCCACTTTGCACTTAGTAGGTGCTTAGTAAGTGCTCACTGTTTGCTAAGAGTGTGCACAGCTATGAGGAGCTAATTAGGAAGTACATGAAGAGCCTCTAGAACACATGTGTCAAACACAAGGCCCGCGGGCCAAATCCGTCCCGCCAGGCCTTGCAATGTGGCCCGCACCGCGCTGTCATCACTGCACTCCGCTGCGTTTCCATCACAATGACAGTTTATGACTGTTCAGTAAACCATTCGGCCCACGATTTAGGCTGGATTTTAGATTTTGGCCCCTTCTCTGATTGAGTTCGACACCCCTACTCTAGAAGCAGCCCAGAGGTTATCTGGACAGTATTTGGCTAATTAGCGGCTGATTCTGTTGCTGGACAGCTTAGTTCAGAAATCCTAGTCAGGCAGCCCTTGGGGAACAGCTGTTGTCTCACTTATTTTAACTGTGAATTTTGTCAACGTTTATTTCACATAAAAGCTGATTTTTAGCTTCTTCTAAGAATCTGAAGCGATAGCTGTGCAGGCCGGCATTATCACATGGAGCTGGGGAGCAGTGGCTCCCTTTAGACAGGCACGTGCTGTCTAGTAAACCGCAGTCCCCACTATTCCCTATTGCCTCTCCACTTGAATACCCATGGACAGTTGTTATCTATCATCACTAACCTATATGACCCGCCTAAGTCTGCAATCCCTATTTAACTACCCTCCCTCCTACCCCACAACCTGGTTTTCCTGGTGACATTCATATGTCCTATGACTGACAGTGTGACAGGATTTCATGCTTTGGATCCTGGGCAACTTGGAGGAAAATGGGCGTCCTGTGATGAGAGAGGGCCTCTACCAATTCGGGCTGTGCCAGATGTTTGCTTCTGTGCTGCTGACATCACACGTTAAGAATGGGATAGACCAGTGGTCGGCAAACTGCGGCTCAAGAGCCACATGTGGCTCTTTGGCCCTTTGAGTGTGGCTCTTCCACAAAATACCAGAGCCTGGGCGAGTCTATTTTGAAGAAGTGGCATTAGAAGAAGTTTAAGTTTAAAAAATTTGGCTCTCAAAAGAAATTTCAATCGTTGTACTGTTGATACTTGGCACTGTTGACTAATGAGTTTGCCGACCACTGGGCTAGACTGTTTTATTAGGAGAGATGGAATCAGAGGTCTCATGAGTGATCCCTGAGGTCCCAAACTCAGCGAACAGAAGAGCAAAGACTAACCTCAACCTCTGATTGACAGTCAGATGCTTTCTGAATCGGGGATCGCCCTGTGGGTCCCTCAGGGACCCGCTCACGTGTCTTTGTGGTTCTCTGTCCCAGCAAGGCCGGGACCAGCTTCTCTGCCTACGCTTTTCACGTTTTCAGCGCCTGAAAATGTGCAGGCCCAGTCTCAGGGGGCAGGAAGGGAGACGCCCAATAGTTTTCGGGGTCCCTGCCTCCCCTGCCTCACGCTGCCTGCTGCCCATTTAGCATCCCCAATTTTGTTTCCCCTTTCTGAGCACGAAAGCAACCTTCACCAGGTAACCAAGCTCTAGACGTCAGAGCCCACGGATTACAGAGAAGCGCTTTTATCCTGCCCTCTGACATCACAGACGCAGCTGAGTTGTCCTAGGTTGCTGCACACCGGGTTCCTGGCAGGGCAGGATCAAACTCATGTCAGTCCCTCTGCCAGTTCAGAGCTGTTCTCACAACGCCATTCACTCACTCAACGAACAATTGCTGAGTAGCTACGAAGTGCCAGGGACTCCTCTAGGCCCTGGGTGGTGGAGAGCAGGGGTCGGAGGTGGTGCTGTGCGCTGAGGGTGAGAATAAAGCAAGTTACAGTGCATGTTCATTGGTTGTGGGCACATCCCCAGTAGGGCATGTGCAGGAGGCAGCTGATCAATGTTTCTCTCTCACCGATGTTTCTAACTTTTTCTACCTCTCCTGTATTCTCTGTAAAAATCAATAATATATATTAAAAAAAAAAAAAGAAAAAAGAATACAGAGGCTGGAGAAAGTGTCCTAGGAAGAGTTTTCCTAGCGAATCAGGAACTTCCCCCTTTATTCTTATTTTAGTTGGCCCCTGACCCTGCAGGGAGAACTAGGCCCTGGTAGTCATAATTAAACGGGAGAGATTAAATATGTAAAATAAGTGTGATAATTAGCAGAATCTAGGAAGTTAGGAAGCAGTGAGACTAGGGTTAGGGATGTGAAATGTAACCCTATATACATTTCAAATTATTCCTCAGAAATATTCCTAGATGAGGAGAAAAGCAGGTTTGGTAAAATAAGAAATCTCTCTCTCTCTCTCTCTCTCTCTCTCTCTCTCTCTCTCTAGAATATCATACATAAAAATCTTAGCAGGGATTATCTATGAGAGTTCAGATTTTGAATGGCTGCTACATTCTTTTTTTTTTTTTTTTTCTTTATATGGAATGCTTCATGAATTTGCATGTCATCCGTGTGCAGGGGCCATGCTAGTCTGCTCTGCATCCTTTTCATGTTAGTACATGTGCTGCCGAAGCGAGCACACCTTCTTTTGAGACTTAAATGAGCTGATGAGTGGAGGTATAATGGCATGCAGTATCCGCTGAATAGATGCCAACAGCCCCCACCTCACTTGTCCCAAACCCGGGAAGAGGAGGAAGAAAGAAAGACACAGCTGGTGAGAGGAGATCAGTTGATGCTCTCCATTCTGGAAGAGGCATTTCTGAGACACTGGGGGCATGTGTGTGTGTGTCCCATTGACCAGAACAGCAGTTGACATTTCAGAAGCATCTCCCAGGTACCATGCCTGCATCTAGAGTTTCATGTGCATTATCTCCCATAATTCTCCCTGTGAGCTCCACACGCTGCTACCCTCTTAAAGACAGAGACTCACAGGGGTAAGGTGACCTGCCCAAGTCTGCGCAGTTAGACTCGGCGGACCTGGGACTCGAATCCAGGTCTGCGTGATGACACAACTCGAATCCAGGTCTGCGCAGTTAGACTCGGCGGACCTGGGACTCGAATCCAGGTCTGGTTCTTAACAGCACATCACGTGTGTGCGCTTTCTAACCACATCGAACTGGGTGGAAATTCCAACTTTGCCACTTGGATGCGATCCTACCCATGAGTCCTGATCCTGTGAGGACCAAGTGTGACGAGGCATGCGAGACCTGTGCCTGGCACCCCGTCGTGCTGGCACGTGCTGTCCCATGGTCCCTCATTCGGGTCCCCAGGGGGACACTTCCGTGGCACCTGGGCCTTCTGAGGAAGTGTCCCAGAGCTCTGCTGCTGAAAAAGCAATTTTTTTTTTTTTCTGTAGCTGTGCAGCTAGGTCTTTAATATTTAATTAGGGAGACCTTCCGCTCGGAGAGAGGGCAGGACTTGTTATTAAATCCCGCTGCTTGGGCTCCCTCACTCGCCCGTGGGATTATTCATTCATTTCCAGTCACACAATTTAATATTGCAACGGCTAATGGGGAGATGTTGATAATTTGTAAAGCTGGTTGGTCCTGAGGCCATTGCAGGCAGCTCTGGGCCTGACACGGGGCTCAGGCAGGTTCCCGGGAGGAGAGGGCTCCCGAGCGCAAACTTCCCCGGTGCCCCCGAGATGCCAGTGGGGAGGAGGGCAAACATCTCTGAGGCCTCTGAGGTGCCAGTGGGGCGCCAGGAGGATCAGAAGGACGTTCAGGGCCCAGTCACAGCCTCTAGGAGCCGGGACCCTGGGACACCTGGGCACGTTAGAGGGTTTGTGTGTTAAACCTGCGCCCAGGGTTGGTGCTTGTCAGGCCCAGGAAGGATGGGAATGGCTGTCCTGGATAAAGCAGTTTACACTCACAGGTCCCTGAAAACAGGCAGCACCCATGCCATGCAGGGCCACGCTGAGAAGCACTGGGGCTGGTCAGGAGGCCGGGGGTCGGGAGGGAACATGGCCCACAGCTGCTATTGGGGATTTCCTGGGAAGGAGCCGGTGAGGCGGCTCAGGTGTGCTGAGTAAGCTTAGGATGGGAAAGTTGGAGGAATTTTGGCAGCCTCTGAGCTGGGGGAGGGGCTGCCTAGTTGTCCAGTACCCGGCCCTGGGGTGACTTAGGGCAGAGGGGACAGTGGGCTGGTGGATGTGAGTTAGGTAAAGGAGGCGGTGGGGAGAGGGGCCGGATTGCTGGTTTGCTTATGGAAGGCACACTGGCAGGGGAGTTACTGGCTAGTCCCAGGAATAGCGGCTCTGGGAGGGGCCGTCTCTCCAGGATCAAGGCCCCAAATGAGGGAGCATCAAGAATACAGAAAATAAGAAAATACAGTTTGGTTCTGCAGTCAGACAGATGTGGGGCCAAAATGCCTCCTTTGTCATGTCCTCGCTGGGGTGTTGGGCATGACCATCTCTGGGATCAATCAGCACCCCCCCCCCCCCCCCCTTTTCCTCCTCCCTCCTCCCTCCCGCCACTACAGGTCTACAGCAAAGCTCTGGCCTGTGGGCTCAGCCCTCCCAGCGGGTTCTCTGCAGGAACAGGCAGAAGGGCCTCTGTCAAACAGCCCCTCAGAGGGCACAGCACCATTGAGTGCCTAGTACGTGCCAGGCACAGGGGCGGCAGTGGGACTGCGATGGTGAGCAAGGACGGTGTGGTTCTTGTTCCCAGGGAAGTCACAGTTTGGTGCGAGAGGGACTTCACCTAAGAACCACACACACACACACACACACACACACACACACACACAAATTGTCACTGTAAGGCGCGCTATTGGGTGCTACAGGAGGGAGTGGCAGGGGGGTGGGGTGTAGTGTGGACCATCTGGGAAGGCTTCCTGGAGAGAGTAATGGCGGCCTGAGATCTGAAGGGGTGGGAGCTTACTAGCCGGGAAGTGTGTGTGTGTGTGTGTGTGTGTGTGTGTGTGTATGTGTGTGACATTCTCAGTGGGAGGGAAGATGAGATGGAGCTTCGCAGGACCCTCCTCGCAGAGGCTCTGGGGAAGGAGAAAACAGGTTCAAAGGAAGCACATCTGAGTGTCCCCTGGCTTTAAAGCCTCCGGCGGCTCCCCGCTGCCTGCAGGAGAAAGGCCACGCTCCGTAATGAGGCCGGCCAGGCCTTTCATGGTCCGTGCCCTGCCTAGCTTTCAGGTTTAGATATCATGGTCTCTGCTACCCGCTGTCTCCCTGCTGCCCACGCTCTCTCTCCCCAGGGATTGCTGTCCCGCCAACATGACTTCCTGGATGAGGCTTCCATGCCTTTGTCCTGCCTCTACTTGCTGCCTGATTCCCTTCCTGGGCCTCCTTCAGATCGATCCCCTTGCACGGCACACCTCCAGGGGGCACTGTTTAGACAACAGCTGGGCTTGTGCTGCCCCCATAAACCGTCACCTCGAGAGCCACTTCCTAGACACGGACGCTTTCCTGTCCGCCTCAGTAGCATCGGCACAGGGTATGGTCCACACAGAGAGGCTTTTCTGTCCCCCTGACAGGGGCTCCTCGAAGCTGTGGCAAGTTCAGTCACTCACTTAACCAATAGGTGCCAGCAATGTGGTCACAGAGAAGTCAGGCAAGTCCCCAGTTCAGCAGGACTGGCAAGTGAAACACATAATCACTCATGAATGTGCAATTATGATGGTCTTAAGTGCTGTGAGGGAAGAGTGGGGTGATACGGGGAAGAAAACCCAGCAAAAATATGATTTGAGTTAGAAGGAAGGAGAGTCTTCCCTGCTCAGTGGTTGAGTGTTGACCCATACCCCAAGAGGTCACTGGTTTGATTCACGGTCAGGGCACATGCTCAGGTTGCAGGCTCAATCCCTGGAGGGGACTGTGCAAGAGATGGCCAATGTTTCTGTCTCATCGATGTTTCTCTCTCCCTCTCTCTCTCTCTCTCTCTCTCTCTCTCTCTCTCTCTCTCTCCTTCCTGTCTCTCTAAAAATCAATAAAAACACATTGAAAAAGAATAAAGAAGGAAGAAGAGTCTGCAGACGTACGGCCTGAGTGTGAGGGTGAGAAAGTGGTAGGAAAAGAGTCTCTGAGGAAGGGAACAGAATGTGCAAGGGTGATGAGGTGAGGATGAGAGCTTCCTTTTGAGGAACTCACTGGAGGCCAAGTGGTGGAGCAGAATGACCGAGGGAGGAAGGGGGGGTCTGGTAACTGGTCAGATCCGTCAACTTTGGGGTTTCACCTTTAAAGCAATGGGAAGCAGAAATATCCATTTATAATCGCCCCAAACTGGAAATTTATCTAAGTGTCTATCAACAGTAAAATAAACACACATGCTTAGCATAGTCACACAATGAAATGCCACACAGTGATGTGAATGAATTAACTGCAGCAGCACCCAACAATATGGACAAACATGGAGAGTGCAAGTAACATGGATCTGTGCTGTTAGAAGTCAGAATAGTGGTTATCCTTGGAAGTAGCCATTGGAAGGGAGCAAAGAGAGAGCCTCTAGGATGCTGTGATGGTTGTCATCTATCTCCTCCTCCTCCTCCTCCTCTGTTTTAAATCTGGGTATCGGTCACATGGGTTTGGTGCACAATATCTATATATATAAAAGGTTAATATGCCAAGTGTCCGACCATCAAGGTAATAACATCACATAGCAACGCCTGGCTTCCTCTCCTTAGCGAGTAGCCTCCTTGCAGTTTCTTCAGCCGAGGAACACCTGCTCTACAGACAGGTGGGAACATTTCCCACTTTAACCAAATGTCTGTGAAGTGTTTTCCCCTGCCTCATCTCATTTGATCCTCACAGAAATCCTGGAGTAGGTAGATAGGAGACTGGGTGGGATCTTATTTTCTTTTTATTAGAAACTTGATCTGACTGAGAAGAAGTAAGAAATGGTGGAACTTGAAAATGACTTCAGGTTTTCTCACTGTGAATATAGTCAAACACTGCTGCAGTTAAATATTTTACCCTTAGTTCTCCCTGTGTGATCTACAATAATAATCTGCTTCATGTTGATATTTACTGTTGCTGATAATTACCTGAAAGAGAAGTTGGGGGTGCTTCACTGGGCTGGAAAAAGTTTAGCTACATCAGAAAGCAGGCCTAATTAAGCAAGTTTATTATATATATATATATATATATATATATATATATATATATATATATATATATAAAAGGCTAAGTTGACTCACACATGCACAATACATATCAAGCTCTCACTGGTGCCAATCACACGCATGTGTTTTGATCTGTCATTGTTGATCATGAATTTGGTTGACACTTCTATTATAAAGGGTGAATAGCGATTTTAAAATATTTCTTGTAATTAATTTCATTTCAATGTGCACGTATCTGTGCAATGGCCACTAGTATTTCAATAAGATGCAGAAAGGCCTTCGAAGAAAGTGTTGCAACTGGCTGAGAGATGATGTGAACTCTGAAGGAGACCAGTAAGAGGCAGATTCTGCATCTCTCTGGCAGAGAGAGTCCACCGGACTTGGGGGTGTATTGGGGGTAGGGGGTGTGAGGGGTAGAGACCAAGAGGTGACAAGGATGACTTTCCAGGCTTGAGCAATTGGGTGGAGGGTGGAACTGTGCTGTGTAATGGGGAAGAGTGGAAGAAAGCTG